CAAAGCCCAGTTCCCGTGGGAGCAGCACACCTCACTGCCACACACCAGGCTGGGCAGAGCCCAGGACTGGCACATGACAGTGGGAGACAGACACATCCCACCAAGGCCACCTGGCAGTTGGCGTAGAAGGGGGAGGTCTGAGTTTGGAAGAACATCCTGGGAAGGGCTGGAGCTTCAAAATAATATTCACAGACAGCAGTGATACCACTTTGGCCCAAAGTGTGATCAGCAAACAATAATGAAAAAAAAAAGTACCCTGGGGCACAGTTGTTTCTCAGAGGAAAAGAGCTGCCAGGCCATGCAGGACCTTAGCACTGCTGCTAATTCAGTGCAGAAACTGCTTAGGCATGACAGCAGCAAAGGAGAAGCCTATGGGTAAATCAGTGACAGAATCTAAGCAGTGATGAGATAGCAGCTATGGGAACCACAGCTCTTGATCCCTGACTTTGGAAAATATGTGTCTCAGAAAAATACATGCAGTAATTTCCTTTCTTTAAAAAACACACACAAAAAGAAAATTAAAAAGAAGACAAAAGCTTCTCCTTCAGAGGAACCAGCAGCACAATTTGCATTACTCTGATGTGCTTCCTCATGCACAGGGTTACCCCTGAGCAAACTGCAGAAGGGTTTCATTAATTTCTAAGTGCAGGTTTCCACCAAGGCAATGTTCACGGATCCAGCCGGAGAACTACAGTATGATAAAGACAATAAATAAACTGTGGAGTCACGTCAATCTGAACTATTTTTATGGCATAGATTACAAATACATCCAAACATCCCCTCTCTCAAGAGTATACTTTTACTACTACAGCATGTATGTGAGGTACGAAGTGGTAACATTTTACTTTAAGACAAATGAAGATTATTGCATTCAGTTGCAAGGAGGAGTTCTGTGAGATTTTTCCAAAATGCCTATATATTCATTTGTAGGCACCAGCTGTCACATAGACATGCTCTGCCTCTCGGGGGGGCCACCAGGCTCATAGTGGGAGCCCAGGAAACACTGAGTCCCAACCTGGGGCTTCTGCTTCCACCACTTGGCTCTTTGACCTCCATTTGTGCCTTTCACTTGCGAGCAGTTTCTAAACTTTTCAACGGTTGGTTCAAAGGCATGTTTTGCTGCTCCTGCCGTGTGTTTGTCTCTCCGAGCTGCAGGTGAAGCTGCTTTGAGAGTAATGCAGATGCAAAACTTGGCTTGCCGCCTTTTGGCAGCACACCCCCCATTATGTTGCTTATAAGCATTAAAAAGTGCTCAGGCTCCCTCAACCCAACCTCCAGAAGACTTATTCTAGAAGGAGGATGGAAACCAGCCCCCCAGCCTGTGGTGAGACCCTGCCTTCCTGCCCTAGCTGGTACGGAGAGTAGAGAACTGCAAAGGTTCATGTTTCCCCTCACACCTCACGTACTTCACTTCAACTGTCAAGGCTTAACGACACTTTGAAAGATGTGTAGGTTAATAAAACAAGCGACTGTGTTGTGGTTTTCTTTTTTAAATGAGACACCTGCATGCACACCTCCACTTGGGGATGTGACAAGAGAACAAACACACGGCAGATGTTTGTCTGCTCAGCACTGCTGATCAGTGGATGCAGAGAGATGGAAATGGTGGCGCCACGCCGAGCTTCATGGCTTCCAGAGGCGAACTGGCCCAGGGCAGCAGCAGGCCAAGCCGCAGGGCAGCACCCAGCACAGCTGGATTCCTGATACAGGCTGAGAGAGAGCTGGGCAGGAAGGAAAGGCAATAAATATCTTGCTCCTGCATTTGAGAGGAAGCCAGATGAAGCATTCCTGTCACAAGGGTGAAACACTTTCCATTCTAACAGTAACTCAGGAAAATGTTACACATTCGCATGAGGCGGATGTTAAAAAGTCAGCAGCCTGGGTATTCTGCACCTCAGAACTGAAAGAAAAAAATAAAAATCTGTTTTTAAATATCCAGAGAATTAATGATGACATTCAGTAAGACAAGGAAGCCTGGAGAGGCTCCAGAGGACAAGCAAACTGATGTTATGCCAGCATTTTATAAAAGTAAACAGGATGGCCTTGTAAACAGGTGTGTCTATTCCATAGTCATTCCATGCAAAATAATGACCGAAAAATATGTGATTGTATCAATAAAGACTTAAATCAGAGAAATATAAACACCAATCATCAGCAATTAGAGACAATAAAACCGGTCAGACTAACATCAGAATTTTTGTAGTACTGTATGCTCTGAAATATTGGGGAGCGAGCTGGCTGGTGCGGCAGCGTGTGTGATCAAGGAACAAGTGCAGCGGTGACCTGGCCAAGTGCGAGGCAGCAGAGGAGATGGTCCTCAGGGAATCAGCACTAAAGACGAGTTTCTAGCGGGGAGTGCAAATAGCGTAAGGCTGATGGCCTGGAAGGAAACAAAGTCATGACGGGTAGAGCATGCTGCTCTGAAAGCTGGGGGCATGTCAGCCATGGGGAGCCCTTGAGATCCCTGGGGCAGCAGGGCCACACGGCAAAAGGTGTCTGTCCTCTGCACTAGAACCCAACTGGTGCCAACGAGAGGGACCGAAAGAAACCAGTGCCTGTGCTCTCCATCACACTCCTGTACTCAAGCTGAGGCCCAGACAGCCCGGCAGCACCTGCTGTGCCAGGGCTGAGCCTCCTCCCAGTTGAAATTATCCTGCTAGGAAGAGTTCAGAAAGGGATTGGGCAAGGCAGGGAAAAAAGCCCTAAGGGCTCAGCAGCAGCACATCCCATGCTCTCGGGGAGACTGTGCTTTTCCGACCGACCGTCTGCCTGGCCCCTGCCACAGCAGGACACAGACCGAGCTTTTGCCCTGACCCAGCAGGGCTGTGCTTTTATTCTGACATTTTGAATCCCTGTTGAACTTCAGGTCATGGTGATGAGCAGTGGACCATGAATTTCCACCATGACTTTATGGGTAAAAGGCCTGGTCCTGTTCCATTTAAACATTCAAGCACTGGCAGTGAGCGGATAAGAGGTTAAAGTCACTCTGCATTTGAAATTCCCATTCCCACAATTAGAATAGCGTGTCCTAGTCCAGTGTCCCAAAGGATACAGAGGCATAAGAAGATTTGGATATGAGCCAAGAAGCTGAAAATGGAAAATATGCCTTAAAGCAAAAAGGACTTTCATCAGTTCAGTCTGTTGTAAGAAAGGATCAGGAAAGCTTGATAATAATATCCGACCTCTCTCTCTTGGACAAACAACTCAGGGGCTTACTCCCTGGCTGAGAAGATCCAGCAACTTAAAGGGAGTTGAAGAAACGCAGCGTCAGTATAAGGTGTAATAACATAATTAACCTCTAGAACAACCTACCAGCCACTGTGGCAGAGACATATGAGTCCAAGATCAACTGTTTTCCTAACAACGGCGCTCAAATTTACACAAGAACTAATTCAGGGCAGCCTGTGTCATGCAGGAAGTTACGCTGGCAAGCCTAGCCGGCCTCCCCGGCTCTGTAATCTACGGAAAAAAACCCTGCCTGTATTTCCCTTCCTCTCGTCCAAGTGTGTGAAAGGTCTCGCCTGCCCCACTGGAGGCGTTTTCAGGAGAGCCAGGTTAGCACGGGTAGCAGGCAACCGTGTTCTGCCTGTGCCCCCGGCTGCCGGAATCGCCCCAGCCCGCTGCTGGCCCTGGTGCTCCTGTGCCGAGACATTTTAGCTTTATAAGGAAGCCAGTCTGGGGCAACGAAGTGGAGCAGCATCCTAGGGCTGAGGCTCCATGAACAACGAGTGCCGGGAATCTGAAATGTTCCTTGTACAGTTTTCTGCCTTCCTGCCCATCCAAAGCAGGGACAAGAGACGGAGCAGTGAACAGGAGGCTCTGGCTCCCCTGCCATTGGGCTCTAGGTGTTGCACAAAACCCTTGTGCTGAAGGCAGCAGCATGCCCCTACCTTCACACCAGCTCCCGAGAGAGCCGGGAGTTTCGTGTTCATTGGGAGCAAAAATCAATCCCATCAGTCTGGCTGGGCTGGTGCCATTGCTGACGCGTCGCTGGGCTCATTCGTCGTAGTGGAGCGGCTTTGCTTATCGTGTAAGCTGCTTGTGCTTCCAGCTCAACTTTCTGCTTCCCAGCTCAGTGTTTTTTTCAAGGGCCTACATGTCAAAATGGGTCGATGACTGCCCTAGTCACAGCTTTGTGGAAGGTTTTGTTTTGGGAGAACAGCCCACAGCCTCCACAAATAAGCTGGATGTGATTAGCTCAGAGGCGAGCAGTGTGGGAGCAGCTGCAGGCTGTATCTGCTGAGTGGAGGTTTCCTCACCCCTAAGATTGCTGACAAATGCTATTGAGTAAAATACAGTGCTGGCTTTCAGCACAAGTCAGAAAGGAAGTCCAGGGAAGAGCTTCAAGAGGCACGACGGTTATCTTTAAGATGGTGCTGTATGTACTGATATGCTCGGTGGGCACATGTCCCCACCTATTCTCAGAGAAATCTTTCCTTATGCAGATTGCATGTTACAGCTCCAGGGCAAAAAGTGCAACAGGGGTGGCTTCCCAATGCCCAGTTCTAAAGAGAAATGGGCCAGACCTCACAGCCTGGCCAATCCAGAGGTGCTACGGTCCTGAGCACACTGGAATACCCCTCTGAAATGACAAACTCATCCTGAAGCAGCTAAGGAACTTACTTTATAGGAAACACAGAAGCAGAGAACTACGGAATTGAAATCAGAACCAGCTGGGATTTGGAGCAACATCAGAACACAAAAACTTTGTGCTTCTGCTTCTCAAATGCTGCCTTCTTGCTGTGGGCCTTGTAATAGTCTTTCCCAGTATTTTGCTTTCTGGGGAATAGTCATAATGGGTTTGCAAAGATGATGTTTACTGTTTATGTTTGTACCCTGCTGATTCACTTTGTAACAGCTCCTTACACATAAGCCGGCAGCTCCAGCACTCGGCTTCCAACATTTTCTGCGCTTTTTAGACTGGAACTGTTCTGTAGCCTTACTCAAAGGGAAATGAGAGTCCTTATGACCCAAGAGATAGACAACAGTGTCTCCCAGCATGCATAACGAAGTCTTTATTCAACAAGAGAGAGTAAAAAGAGAACAGCCTAAGTGAACAAGCAGAAACACGGAGCAGAAGGCCCCATGCAGCTCTTCAGGTTCTGTATCAGGGAAGAGTAGTTGTTCTCCAGGCCAGATCTGAAGAAGATAGGATCAATATCAGAAGCAAAGTCCTCTGCTCTGACTGAACAGAGAAGTACCTGTGTCTGGGAGACACGGCCGCTAGCAGCTCCCCACAAGCCACCCAGCACTAACAAAGCTCAAGGAAGGGCCTCACAACCCTTATCTCCCTGCATATAGTGTGTTGGAAGTCCTAGAAGGAATTCAGGTGGCTGCAGAAGGAACGATGCTGGTAACTGCTGTTCCCTGGGTCTGGTTCATCTCAGCTCATCTCTGATACGGATGCATTGAGGCAGATTTGATGTTTGTTTTTATGCCACTCGGCATTTTTCCTGGAGAGAGAAAAAAGAAAAAGTGCAAAATCAGACCCGTGAGAGGACACCAGCTCAGGAGGATGCAAGACTCATAGCAAACCTGTCTGGCCTTTTCCTGTTCCACTCTGGGTACCACACTGGGCTTACCTGCTACAGCATATTCCAGCTTCCCACCTAACACAGTCACTCTCTTCTACAAATTGGCTTTTTTTGCTGTTGGGAAATCTCCTTGACAAGGGAGTGGAACATCTCCCTTATGAGGAAAGGCTGAAGGAGCTGGGTCTCTTTAGCTTGGAGAAGAGGAGGCTGAGGGGTGACCTCATAAATGTTTATAAATATGTCAAGGGGGAGTGTCAGGAGGACGGTGCCAGCCTCTTTTAAGCGACGTCCAATGACAGGACAAGGGGCAACGGGTACAAGCTGGAACACAGAAGGTTCCACAAAAATATTAAAAAAACTTTTTCACTGTGAGGGTGGCAGAGCCCTGGCACAGGCTGCCCAGGGAGGGTGTGGAGTCTCCTTCTCTGGAGACATTCAAAACCCACCTGGACGTGTTCCTGTGTGATCTACTGTAGGTGATCCTGCTCTGGCAGGGGGCTGGACTAGATGATCTTCTGAGGTCCCTTCCAACCCTTAACAATCTGTGATTCTGTGATTTTGTAATTCCTGTGTCCTCCTGCTATCCCCTCAAAGTCTGTCCTTGTTCCACCTTAAACAAGCCCTTTTCTTTGTACGGAGGCTCTTACAGGAGCGTGGGACTTGTTCAGTCTCACAGAAGTTGCTGGCAGCAGCACTCACAGAAGTACCTGGACTGAACTCCACTTCCATTTCAGAGATGCAGATACAAGAGGCTGTATCCTCTTCCATGTAAGCATTATTTATAATCAGGGTCTATATTTAAAATACTAAGCCTCTCTCAGATCTCTTAATTTCTCTTAACTATATCCACGTCTTGGGCATTATTACTCTTTGCTGATACCAATCACACATGGGAGCGTGTTCAAAGACTTTGTACCAGCAGCTTACGGTAAGTGTACAGTGCTATGGGCACTATCAAAAGCAGGATAGTGGGACTGACCTTTGGTGAAACCCAGTGTAGCTGCTCTTATCAAAAGGGAACTTCCCAGTAACACAGGCTGGACAAGTGCTCTTGTTAGCAGTGCACTCTGCTTCATGTACAGAAGCGACTGTCTTCCCACCCAGCAGTGTTTGTGGGTAGGCAGCCAGAAACAGGGGCCTTCTTTGTTTCCAAATCACAGTGGAAATGACTTTCTAAGCCTTATATAAATACATAATTAATGTAGGATTAATATTCTTGCTCAAGTTGCTTTCTAAACAACAGTTATTATACCAGCAAGAAAACACCAGTTAGGATGTCTGATATCCGATATCTCAATTACCATAAGAATGACAGTACAGGATTAGGCCTGTAGGTCCTCCAGGCCAAACTCACTCCTGACAGAAATCTAAGGAAGAACACCAGAACAGGGCAAGCCAGTGACACCTCTGCAGAATGTCCCCCAAGCTTCTAACATACTGTGGCTCAGAGACTTGAAGTCAGAGATGGTATCTTCAGGACTAGCTGTTGACTGATTTTTCACCTCATATAAACTTCATCTGTGTATCACACACGTGACAATGTGCTCTGCACTGTGATTATTTGGTATTCAGAAAAGTATCTCCCATTTGTTCTCAATTTACAAGCTGATACTTTCATTGGTGCACTTTCACTGATCCTCCCATATCATGGGAAATGGTCAATAACTTCCCCATTCACCTGCTGTATACAGTTTGGGATTTTATAGGCTTCCGTACTTTCTTCTCCTTACCCCAAAGCTATACTCAGTAGCAGGCAAGAGATCAGAATTGTACATAATATTGCAGGTGTGGGCGCCCAGTGGATTTATAAAATGGTCTAATGAGATCCTCTGTTTCTCTGTTCTTTTTCTAGTAATTCCTAACATTTGGTTTTCATTTTTATGCCAACTGAACATCCAGTTAGTGTCTTTACAGAAATATTATATCAGGTATTTATTTCCCAAATACCAGTAACTAGGTTAGAGTCCACGTGCTGGACATGTAAAGTCAAATTACTATGCCTATGTGTTTCATTTTATATTTAATACAAATGTAATCTACTATTATTTACTGAAGTCACTTGGTATAAGAAATTCTTCTGTGACTCTTTACAGATGGCTTTTGTTTTTTTCTTGCCTTAGGTAACTCACTGTCAAACTTTTCCACTTTATTGCCTACCCAGGATTTAAATTTGACAGCAAAACCCCCAGCATAGATCCCTGCAAAACTACTTTGTGATCTCCCTCCGTATTGATTCCTGTGTTCACGAAGTCTGTTATTAAAGTGGTATTGCAGTGAGAGTTACGAAGCTGAAGCGAGATGGCTGGGATCCATTCCAAATTCTTGAACGAATTTTGAGCAGGTATGACTCTAGTCGTACAACCTGACCCATGTTATGAAGGCCAGAAAGGAATCTCTTACTCGATTATATCTAAAAGGTGACATGGGAAGAACCGCTACATCTGCATATGTCTTGCTCCCTGAATTTCAGCTGTTCTCAGATAGGCAATTTATTTACCTGTCTGTCCCGCTTGTGCCATCTGCACTCCTGCTAGCATTGGTTGCTGCTGAGCTGGTGCCCCTGACATGGGGACTTGCTGCATGCCTGAAGCACCTGCAATGATGGCACCAGCTCCTGGTTGGCCTGACTGGACAGATCCGCCAGAGCCAGGGGGCCTCCGGTTTGACAGTCCTTTCCCAAAGGCCACAGCTGCTACCAGGGCATTGGTATCCGCAGGGTTGAAAGTCTGCTTGTTCTGCCTTAAACCTGTAGGAAAAGAAGTGATTTTGGAGCATTTTAGCGATAAAGTCTAAAAAGTAGCACAGCTGTTCCTGAATTTACTTCTCTGTATTGCATTTTGGTAAACGTAATAGAGATGAGCTTCTAACAAGCTGGCCTACAAAAGTCTCATCAGGGTTAAGGAGGCTGCAAAACCCAGGGACTGTGGTGATCATCCAAGAGCTTGTTGGATCATGGCCTGCCCTAGGTGATCCTGCTCTGTCGGAGGGGTACTAGATGATCTCTTCCAAGTCCTTTCATTCTATGATTCTATAATTCTATGATTCTCCACCAAGAGCAGGAAATACACTGCTCAGGGAAGGAGGACGGGGAGCCAATTCCTCCATGCTGATAAGAATGTTCCCACTAAAGGCTCTTCCATGCTGAACCCTATGGCAGGTATCAAGCACTGTGTTTTAGATACACAATGTCAACATGCCCTTTTGGAGGCACACCAGCAGCATGGTGTCTGCAAGTTTTTTTGCCACACACCTGCCCAGTTACACTGTTAATCCCAGAAACCAGACAGAACCTGTGTTTGGGTCCTTGCTTACACTGTGTGTGTGTCAAAGATGACAGAAAAAACCCCAATACTATCTCTGAGAGTTGTGCATAGCGCTCCCAGAAATATTGAACAGCTGATGGCAGAGACGAGTTAAAATAAAGATGTCTAGCATCAGAATCAGAACCAGAAAAAGTTGACCTTGAGTCTGAAGCAGCCATTATCCAGAGGATATTACAAAAAAACCCGCCAACAAACATCCCGTGGATTCATTCAGAACATGGGCAAGGGGTTTTCCATTCACTGCCACTGCATTTTCACAGCTATTTTTATTAATCCGTGTTGATTAGGATATTTTCTTGGTAAATACTTACACCTCCTCCAAAGAGGATATCACAAAGGATTGGAATTACCTTCCTGCCAGGCACAGGTCACACAAGCAGGACACACTGCACCCATTGGACCTCCTTCCAAACAGGGGCTCCAGGACAGCCAAACTTGCATCTTCTGGAACGCTTTTGTCTATGCTGCTCACCTGCATTTCCCATGCTTCAGGCTGATTTGTCTATTCTGCCATTACGCTCTCAAGTGCTTAGACCCTCTACCCCACTTCCACCTCAGTGACATACCTCCACTTTCAGATTCACGCTCCTCCTTACTGATTTTCTCCAGCAGATTTGAGCACATTTTGTTCAGACTTTGGATCTGTTTCTGCAAAACAAAAACCATCAGAAACTGCCAGAATACCCACAATTCAGTACCAGTCAGCAAGGTAAACGAACAAGCTTTCTCTTCGCAGGGTCTGCGTAACCAAACATGAACATCTTGGTAGCAAAGCCTCGAAAGCCCAGTGCTAGTGCATGCAGGAGGGCACTATGGGGATGGGACAGGCTTTGCCTTTCTCTAGCTGGTCTGTTGGCACCTTTCCTGAACAGCCAGCGGGCTGGATACCCTTGTTCTGTGAAACTGGAGGAAACCAAAACACAGCTAGGGTCAGCTGGAAAAATCTCAGACAGAAAAAGACATGGCAAAAAAGAAAAGGGGTGAAGGAAGCAGAGTCAAAGGCCACCCTGTGCCCTAGGACTAAGAGGCAGAAATATTAATCTCTCCTCCCCTTACCTGTGCCACATCAGGGCTAATTCGAGCTGCATCTGTGATCAGCTGCTTCTCCTGCTCCTCCACCTCCGGGTCAGGCTTAGTTCGAAGATGATCAGGCACTACCTCATGGCTGAATACCGGCACACGTCCCTCTGTCTGCCGCTGCAATAGTTGGACAAACCACGCTCAGAACCTTCTCCTTGTCCAGGCCAGCACTCAGATTGCTCAAGACTAGAGCACAGGCCATGGTGCCAGAACAAGGCACCAACGTGCTGTGGGGTGATCTGGAGAGCCGTAGGAAGTTTCAACGATTTTTCTAGGAATTTGCACTGTGCCTGGTTAGTCATAGAGCAACCCTCCAGCATGGCCATGATCAGTTGAAACGTTTTCTCACTCAAGCAGAGAATGAATATTGCCAGTTCACGCCAGAAGTTCTGTAACACACCCCATGTTGGTCAGATGACAAACAGTGCAAATCCAGATGTAGATGTCTGACAGGCAGTCGGTTACCGCACAGTTATGGCAGAAAGCCAGGAGCCTGCAAACTTCCCAGTTACACAACAAGACACTATCCCTTTCAGTTGCAACATCATGAAAATAACATATTTATGAACAGTAACACCTCCTGTGAAGTGTATCCAGTGCAAGTGTTTGTAGGTGAAAGTCCCGCAGCAAAGCAACTCCCAGGCAGAACTACTCATCATCTTCTCTTTCTCTACACCCAGAGCTAAGAAATGCCAAGCACAAGGAATGGCAAGTTGGAGCAGACACACAAGCACTTTCTGATACTCCAGGGCCAACACTCGGAAGGAATTTTCTTACCATGATCTCCTCATCACGGTCTGGAGACAGCACTAGGGGTATGATAACCTGGTTTCTCAATAGTGGGGTCTTCTCATGCTTTAGCACTTTATTCAAGGTGTTCAGCTGCCCTGAGAGCAACGCAAAGCTGTCCAGAACTGACGGCCTGGGAAAGCAAACAGAGAGGACAGAATATGGAAAAGGATGGCAGAGATCGCTGTTTTCTCCACTCAGATGGTTGAGAAGTGAGGAAATAACGGTATTACTCCTCCAATCAGTCTACTCCAGACAGCAAGCAGTAAAACCTAGGGCTGAATGTGCAGGTGTGGACAAATCCCAGGCCCTCCTGCACGTAGCTCAAATGCTGCAAAAAGCTCAGGGACATCACCAGCAGTACTGCTGGAAGTGGCAGTTGTTTGGGATTTCAGAAAAATACACAGAAGCAATGCTTTCCTTATCACTAACTCTCCCAGGGCAATCCTAAAGCAAGGTCTGAGAAACAATTTAACTCCTAAGCAGGACAGCCAGGAGAGACAATACTTATAGCTTGGTTGTCCAGACTAAGCAATAATGAAACAAAATAATTGATAATCTTGTCAAAGAGGTCCTCTTGCTCTCTCTGGGCGATTAATCACCTCTCTTGTCCTCTGCAACATTAACTATAAATGGTAACTGCCTGTGAAGCTTTGTTGCACTGTCTTAAGATACTGTACAGTTTATTAAGTTCTAGCTATAACATCTTTATGCTCCATCAGGAAGAGAATGCCACCTTGAAGTCTCTCAGACTGTCTGCTAAAACATGCAGAACTAGCAAAACACAAGAGCTCGGTTTATACTAGAACTAGAAAAAGCCAGGGAAGTCAAGAAACGTAGAAAGAACCATCGCTCATTTTATAATCTATGTCTCTTAGATATTTTGTCCAAGCTTCGTCACTGCAAGTCTAGTTCTCATAAAGTGTCTAAATTGAAAAGTGTTAGCATGGCTCTACTATTATACAGCATGAAAACAATGGATTTCAACTGGTTTTCTGGTGTGTAGTGGTTCCTCCAGCAGAAATATGAAAAGCAAATTTAAACTTACTGACAATAGGGTAATGTTTTTTAATTACACTTTGTGGTCCTTTGAGCCGAGTCTGGAACAGCTTCAGCAGTGACTGACACATGGCCCCAGCTCTGTGAGACCCCTTACCACGTGAGTCGGTCGTACTCGTTCTCCAGCTTGTAGATAAAACTGACCAAGGAGTTCTTGAGGTCAGCCACCTGACTGATGAGTGCCTCCAGAGTCAGCTCCAGCTGCTTCTCCTCTCTCTAAAATAAGGCAAGAAAGACAAGGCATGAGGACAAAACACCTTCCCAAGGTGTTGTAGGTCCAGACACACGCATGTGTCCAATCTCTGCTACAGAGAGCCTCGTCTTCAGGGGAAGCAAACAGAGACTTTAGAGATAAAAATCTTGTGGTTTCACACTGGTTTCCCTTGGGTTGGAACAGTAAGGTAAGAGACTTGTGTCTGAGACAAACCCTTGGCTAGCTGTTCTGTTTAAGACCTAGATGAGTGTAGTGAAGACATTATCATTTACATCTGCTTTTTGCTACGTCAGGCAAAGTCATCCGAGTTAGCTCATGCCACCTTTGTAAGCCATTTCAGCTAAGCCAGCTCACAGTAGATTAGCATTTCCTCAGCCTTTTCTGACAGCAGATGTGAGCGCAGTGATGTCTTCATCCAGAACGGCCCTTTGCAAAATGCATATCAGGCCCATGGCCTAAAGATTCCAGTTTCTGCTCCTCACATCATTCTTTACTTTCTTTCCACTCGAGTGTCACTTCCAGCTGATAAAGAAACTGGCAGCTCCTACTCCACTTGTGCCTTACTGGCTGCAGGAGGCCCTGCCGCGACTGAGACTGCACATACTGGTCACACACACACACATCACGTCCTGCCTTCTGCTCTGCGTCACATTGTTTAAACAACCTCCGGCTCAGGGAGGACGGTGACAGAGGAAGCGTTAGGATGGGGGATCTGTTGCCGAAGACACCAAGGCATACCCTTAACTCTTGCAAAAACCCTCTAGAACCTTATCTAGTCTAACTTGCGTGTACTACAGTATTGTGCAAATTGTAATTACAGTCCCAATCATAATGAACTGCCCATGTAAGTCGAGAACTGTACAATAATAATCCATGAGGAGGGTGGGACAAAAGAATCAAATAATAGAAAGGGAATGCTGATAGGGAAAGCAGATAGAGTGACTCAGGCTGTTGGCATACTTTTACTGGGTTTGTTGTTCTGTTTAAATACACTAGACCAGTGTGAGCTTCACTGGAGGCATTATCAGGTATCTTCCATGTTCACGAGAACACAAAATTATTCTATTTTATTTATAGTCTGACAAGACTATAAAGGCTCTTTTTTAGTAATCACTTAACTACCTTAGAAGAAACAGCTGGGTCAGCTTTGCTAAAATTTGATCCCCAGTCCACAGAGTGGATTCACAGAGAGGTTCCACCTCGAAACAAAAGCGCTCTCCTCCGTCTTGTGATAAGACTAGTGAGTTTCTGGGCCGTTAAGAAATAAGCGTACAACTGTTTGTGTGCACTGTGTTTGTGCAAGAAGATTAACTAACACCTGTTTTACGAGTTGGGCTGGTAGCCAGCGTTTTACTGCAGGGGTGCCAGGCGTATGCACCCACGACAATTCATCTGGCTGCCTGCCTAGGCTTAGCCAAGGAGCCCTCAAGAAGATGAATAAAATCCTATCGCACATGCACTCGGTGCCTCCTCCTTTCGCAGGCTGTCTCCAAAGCCATTAAGGGCTGGAAGCAGATGTAAGCACTGCAAAGCAGGCATGCAATAAAACCAACCGGTGTTTCCAAGGAACGCTGTGCTTCCTGCAGGCGTCTGCTATATTCAAGTGGTGCTTTAAGGAGTTAGCAATAGTGAATTGCCCCCGAGGGAGTCATGATAGGACTTATGGGAGTGGTTACTGAAGGACCTCCTGATACAGAGCAGTTGAGAAGTAAAGGTAAAATCCAGAGCAGGTAAATGCAAAGTGACACACGTGGCAAAACAAAGAGGTGGAAAAAAGTAATCCTTACTTTCTGTACACAATGCCATTCTCTGAGCTGATAATACCATCATTCAGAAACAAGATCTCAGGATTATCTGAGGGTAACCCATGAAAATATCTGCCCAAGGCTCAAGAAGCAGTTAAGGAAGTAAAAGCAGTAACAGGATTTATTAGGAAAGCAACAGAAAACCAAGCATCATTATGTCAACATGCATGCTTCATTTGCACCTCGAGTATTATGTGTCACTCTTGTCCCTCCAACTGGAAAGGGATGTAGTAGGAATATATATAAATAAAGGCAACAACAACGATAAAGAATATTCATCAGTTCCATAGATACTGCAGTTAAAAACAGAAAAGAGGCCAGTACATGCAAGCAGCTGAAATGAGGAGAGACAATATAAGAAACCTTAGAGATGAGGAACTGCAGGACAATCTATTTTCACTTTCTTTTCCAGAAGACTTGCATGAATCCAGCAGGCAGTGGTTTCAAACAAACTAAAAGAGGTGGGGATCTTTACAGCCTGTCATTAACCTCCGCAACTACGTTCCACTGGATATTATCGCAAAAAATTCACTTTGAAAAGTAACTAGATCCTTCTTCCATCAATGAAAATTCATTCCAGGCTATCAAGCACAAGGGATCTGCTAGCAATAGTTTATACAGACTGACATCAGTAGCTTATTTTGTTCTCACAACTTCTTTTGGGCATGGGCACCTTGGCTAGAGACAAAGCCAGGCTGCTGAGCAAGCACACCTTGGGCTTATGCCCTCACCCAGGGCTGCAGCAAGGGCTGAGCGGCAAACATGCACTCGGATATCTGCACACACGCCCACCTTACAGCCGCGTAGAGAAAGGAGGGTTTTTCCCAGGCAAGCGCTGCACCGGGGCGAGCTCATCCTCCCACCCAGGCTGCTTCAGCCCGGGG